CTTTCAATGTTAATCAAGATCTGATAGATCAGATCTTCCATGAATTTCTCTCTTTGCTTTTAATTTCTCTCTTTGCCCTTTCAATGTTAATCAAGATCTGATAGATCAGATCTTCCATGAATTTCTCTCTTTGCTTTTAGACTTCCTTCCTCCATTCTTCCCTTCCTCCCTTCTTCCTTTCTTCCCTTCTTCCCTCTCTCCCTTCCGCATTCTTTTAATCCTGTAGATGTCTCCCTCTTGTGCATGTACACCATCATTTTAGCTACATTAAGAACACAACTCAAGAAATTTAAGTTTGCTGTTAGTATATAGGATTACAGAGCTCTGATAATGCAGTGGTTGAATATTCCAAACTGCTGAAAGGAAACCATATTTTGATTATAAATAGCTACAAGTCCATTCTTCCATTTCTCAGCTGGAGGGGAAAAAATAAAGAAATATGTCTAAATAACAGCTGGAGGGGAAAAAAATAAAGAAATATGTCTAAATAATAGTATAAAGAAGGTAAATGTATGTGGCCTGGAGCACGATAACTGGATATCTTCTCTTCCAAGACCTCTTTTCCAGACAGGGACTGTTCCATCACAAACATGTCATCCTGGGGCTAGATTACTACCCACCCCCCCAATCCTATTTCCCACACACAATGAATGATGTCAGGCATTGTTATGGGCATAAAAAGAACACTTTGAGAGAGGGGCCCTGCAAAAAAGAGTCATGTACTCACAGAGTGACAGGATGCATCCATGCGCATAGCCACTCAAAAGGAAGAACATCAGAAGTTGTTTCAGACGAAGTAAAACCAATGTTCTAGTTATACTACCAGCCTTTGGTCTTGTCTAAGGCTGTTCCAGGAACTAGACGTATCTTTTTCCCAAGGGTGCTTTTTCAAGAGGCAACTGGACTTTCTGGCTTTTCTTTGAAGACGTTTCGCTTCTCATCCAAGAAGCGTCATCAGCTCTGAAGAATTAGGTAGCTCTGAGCTGAAGAGGCTTCTTGGATAAGAAGCGAAACGTCTTCAAAGAAAAGTCAGAAGCCCCAGTTGCCTCTCGAAAAAGCACTTTGGGGACAACCGTGACCTAGTTGACTGAGAAACTCGATAGACACTTAGCCTTATATTTATATTTGCCCTGCTTCAGCAATAGATGCTGGTAGAGAGAAGCAAGATGTGGGTGAAGACAGCTGACAGCTCCATCTGACATGATTCGCACTGCCTACCTAGCCTATCATTTTTCAGAGAAGTGAAAGCTGTGGTCCCATCAAGAGCATTGAAAAAAAAATGACTCCATTGCCAAAAGTTAAGGGAGGGGGTCCAACTTGTTTCTTCATCTCAGGCAATGACATATTTGGGGCCAGCACTAAGTTCTGCAGAAGTTTTAGGAAGGGAGCTTTTTCCAACTCTACCTAATGACACCCCCAGAGATGGTCCAGGACTCACACCTAAATACTTGTGTTGATGGCCCTGTTGTGTGGGCTTCAAAAATTTTAGCCAAGGGTTCTCTGCCCGGTTGCTGGGTGGGTGTGGCCATGGTGGGTGTGGCCTAGTCAGCCTCCTGCAGGGTGGGCGCGTTTTTGCCCTCCCTGGGCTCCGTAGGCTTTCCTCAAGCCTCCGGGAGGGTGAAAATGGCCTCCCTGGGCTTTAGAGGCTCTCTGGAAGCCAGAAACTGACCCATTTCCAGCCTTCCTGAACTTCTGGGAGGCCTGTTTTTCTTTGGCCTCCCCAAGCCTTCATGCGCACCCTGCACTTACCTGCATCCAAAACGGGCCACCTGGGGATTCCTGGGAGGGGAGGGGTGGGCGGGTCCAGCTAGGAGTGCGATTTGGGGGTTCTCTGAATTGCACAGGCTAGATGGCAGGACCTATTTGGTCCATGGTCTTTCTTGCAGAAGATAGCCCTGGAGATGCAGAGCTAGTAAAGGCTCCCCCAATGGCAAAGAAGCAATCTATAGTGCACACATTCACTGCACATCCACAGCTTGCTATTCTTATTCCTGTTCATTTGTTTACTTGCTGAGCAAACAAAATGTCATATGCGGAGCTTATGTACAACAATATATTCATTTCAAAATAGATATCAATATGGATGTGTGTGTGTGTGTGTGCGTGCGTGTGTGTGTATGTGTGTGTGCACCTGCATACACAGATGCCTACATATACAAACAGGTGTACGTTTATGGAAAACCTGCAAATGTTTTGAACATCTCTATTAAATATTTTTACCCAAAGTTAATCTGGCAGAAAACATATTGAAATAAAACAATCTTTAATTAAATGTTTAAGCTCTTGCTGTTTTGTTTATCTTTTGGCCGAAGCAATTTTCCATGGAAGTTTTGATTCAAAGAAAAATAAATATACTTTAGTTTTTCCATTTTTTATTTTGACAACAAACCTAGTGGTTAACCATGGGAATCAATTTACATCAATATACATTCAGAAAAATAATAAAGCTAAAGACGCATTGTCAACAATGGTTGCGTGAGGTTCATGAATTTTTCAAAACATACATCTCGAATGACTAATTGGGCATGGGTAATTACCTACCATGACTAATTACCAGAGATAATGTTATCTACCAGTTATTGAAAATGCATTCCTTTGATCCTAATTTAATACATTAGCTATCTTTACTACTATATCATATAGGCTCTTAATTTGGAGATTGCTGAACTAAACCATTTGGCGGATTATTTGCATTTTATATTAGTCTGAAATGTAATCAATATATGACTTTTAAATTAATGTATCCAAAGTTCACATTAATTTATAAATCTAGGAATGCCTTTGCTGAAGTAAACTGTGTGACTTTCTTGCTTCTCCTTTCCTGGCACATTCTATGTCCCCCTCCCTAAATATAATTTCCAACCAGCAATCCTTAGGCAAGAAAATGTGATTAGGAAAAGAAGCAATCTCTATACAAGACAAATGATAAACTGCATACAAGTTACTATGTCTAAGATGGAGCACTCAGTTCAGTAGTAAATGGCGAATTCCTGTAGGGTTGCTGTAAAACATTTCTGTAGTGCTGTAAATTTCCCCAGCCCTTTGCTGAGAATCAATAAAACATATCCCTGCCATGAAAAATGTATAGATGAAAAATGTCTTATGATTTAAATTACTTGAAAGGATCACAAACTTTTGTAACTGAATTTTTGTAGAATTTTCCCTTAGTTGCTGACCAGCAAGCCATGGTCAGTTTATTTTGAGTTGACAGTTTGGTAACCGTAAAATTAATTGCTAATAATTTACACTCTTTTCTTTTATCCATCCTCCATGCCAAAGCTCTTTGCTTCAGACTATGTCTGGGAATTCACTATTTCTGTTCTGTTCTCTTATATGCTAGACTACTGAAAAGTAGACCCTTGGAACCAATGTTCCTGTCCATGGGTGGGCAGGAAAAAATCAATGAAAATAGCTTATCTTACCTAAAGTGAACAATTCATTGGTCTGGTAATTGTAGATTTTGATGTGGGGGCACGTTCTAAGAAACAGTTCCCATTTGATGATAGGGTTGCAATGTCAGCACCATAAAAGGGCTTGGACACTAACCATTTATAGTGGACATAATACTGGACTCTGAAAGTTAGAAGAGCCAATCCATACAAAGTGTTTTTATATGCCTAATGACTTTAACAGGTCATTAGTGGGGATCCTATTTTAAAGAAATTTTATACAATAATTTCGGCTCAGTCTGAGGTGGCCAATTCAACCTGAACCTCTCTTCATAGTAAGCCAGTCTTCAAAACAGGGTTTTGTTCAAAGACTTTGAAATAGTGTAGTGTGATAATCTTAATTTTAGGTCACATTTAAATTATCATAGGGCTGCAACTTTGCAACACTATAAAGCCTGAACATTTTATCCATGAAGTCCATATCATCACATGTATAGGCTGGACTTGTCTAGGCGGGCATATGCCAGCCTTCTTCCACCTGGTAGCTGCCCTGATGAGTCATCTACAGTTCCAATAATCACCATTCAGAAAACTACCAATAATTGAGATGGTTGAGTTTGAGTAATGTTCCACACTCTGGAGGATGCTACCATGCGGTTAGCATAATATTTTTCCCCCCTCATATGATTGGTTTCACCATATGAAAACTAACACAAACGTTTCAGTGGGTCATATGACAAATGACAGTTTCATGTTTTTGTATGCTAAATTGTACTACAGGTAATCCTCAACTTACAATCACAACTGAGCCCCACATTTGTTGCTAAGTGAAAAATTTGTTAAGCAAGTTTTGCCCCATTTTACAACTTTTTTGCCACATTTGTTAAGTGAATCGCCACAGTTGTTACATTAGTAACACGGGTCATTAAGTGAATCTGGTTTCCCCATCGACTTTGCTTGTCAGAAGGTTGCAAAAATTGATCACATGACACCAGGACACCGCAACCATCATAAATGTAAGTCCGTTGTCAAACATTCGAATCACATGACTATGGGGATGTTACAACAGTCATAATTGTGAAAAATGGTCATTTCAATGCCATTGTAAGTTTGAATGGTCACTAAGTGAATTGTTAAGTTGAGGAATATTTTTGAGAACACTATTTGTCAGGATTCCAGCAATTGCCCTAATTAAATCATGATTCTTGAGCCAAACTTCAAAACACTTCAAAGGATTTATTAGAGGCGACATACTGGCACTGCCCTGTATGAAGCCAACTCTGGCATATGTAATTTACAGTCCCCTGTGACCCTATTTCCCTTCTCCCCCTGGGTGTCTCATAAACCAGATTCTCCAATTGAGCACGTTCACGGGCTGGGTGTCATCATTTACGTTCTCCAATTAAATATATTTGCGGACAAAAGCTCTGGTATTTTAGTTACAATCTTTTAAAGATAAGAGTTGGAATGTATTTTTGATTTCAAACTTCTGCACTGCTCTTCCAGATTTCCTCCCCACCCCCTTTTTTTTAATGGCAACTACTAAAACAGGCATAGGAATGTTTTATGAGTTGACATTATTTTTAATCCCCTCTCCTCTCCATTTTGCAGATGGGATCCACAGTGTGACAGCCCAGTGTGTCCTGCGTGTCATTGTCATCACTGAAGACATGTTGGCAAACAGTATCACAGTACGCCTAGAGAACATGTGGGAGGAGCGTTTCTTGTCACCTCTTCTCGCCAACTTCCTAGAGGGTGTGGCTACTGTGCTGGCCACACCCAAGGAGGATGTCTTCATCTTCAACATCCAGAATGACACAGACGTCGGAGGACAAGTGCTGAATGTCAGTTTCTCGGCAATGTCGCCCCGGAGTGGCCACTTTTTTAGTTCAGAAGAGCTTCAGGAACAGCTATACATGAAACGCATGACCCTCACCTCAGTCTCCATGCTGGAAGTATTGCCCTTCGATGACAATGTTTGCCTTCGTGAACCCTGCCAAAACTACATGAAGTGCATCTCGGTGCTCAGGTTTGACAGCTCATCTCCTTTCATTGCCTCCCTGTCCACCCTCTTCCGACCTATCCACCCTATCACAGGCTTGCGCTGCCGCTGCCCTCAAGGCTTCACTGGCGATTACTGTGAAATGGAGATTAACCTCTGCTATTCCAACCCCTGCCTCAATGGCGGAATCTGCACCCGCAAGGAAGGAGGTTACACCTGCATCTGCCGCCAGCACTTCACAGGTCAGGCTTTCATTCTTCTGGGAATGGAGGTGGGGCTGTTGGCTACAAGTTTTCAAAAATGCTTCCCTATTTAATGGCTCTATTTGGGTGTGAGAGACTTCACACCCACTGTTAAAGAGAGGCTCTGCTCGCATTGCGTAGTATACCCAGCAATGCTAATTCTACAGCAACTAATTTGGAAATTAGCCAGTTCTACCCCTCTTTGATGGAAAGAGAGGACCAGAAATTTATTAGCAAGTGAAGGGTTTTGCTGTGTATCAGATATGTATAAGTAGAAGCTAATTAAGTTATGTATTGATGAAGAGGAAGATGCAGTCATGGCATGCATTGTTGTCTACCACTTTCTTCATGTCAAGAAATTTTTCAACAATCATGGTAGATTTGTAAGTTAACTAGCCATTTCTTACATGGTTTTTCAGGTACTGGTTGTTATAGGGAGGACTGTTTTGTTTTTCCATGATGGTTTGCTTCTGTGTATAGAAAGTCTTATTGAGTATGTCTGCAATTGCCCATAGCAGCTCTTTACAGTCTTACTCAGAAAAGCGTCACATTCACTAAATACTGTTATTTTGAACTTGGCCAAACTTTCCGGATTGCTTTCTAGACTAGTTTTCTCTTCTTGTCCAATAGTTCATGAATGTTGTCTCAGGAAATTTCAAGGTACCTGGGATGACCTCACCTCAGCCATACAAGAAGCAGTTAGAGCTTCCTCAAATATTGAATTATAACATCTATCCCATTGCAGTTGTATGGCTCCATAGTATGGTGTTTTTATTATGATTTTATCTTAATTTAATATATTATCTCCTATATTGTATTGTCCACAAATATTATCTCTATATCACTATATCCCTCTGTCTGTCTTTATCTATTTATCTGTCTGTCTACCTATCAACACAATATTTAAACTAAATTTATATATCAGTGATTGCATGACCTCTGTAGATGCCACATGTTAAATAAAATAAAAATTCCTGTCCAAGATAGCATGGCAAGAGAAATTGGGGTAAAGGATCAGATCAGTGCCTAGCTGGGTGAAATCTGCATCCTTTTCATGTGGCTTCCTACACAGTCTGGCTTCAGGGGAACACAGTTATACAAAATCTTGTCAAATAACATTGTTCTCATTTTAAAATCAGCAGATATGGTGACCATTGGAGATTTCTGCTATTTTTTTAATTTGAATATAGGGGCTGCTATAATTGGTCCAGGAAATTTGATGTTTTTTTATGTCATATTGGTAAACTTTACAGGAAACAAGGGATCGATGTACTGGGTGGGGCTGGCTTCTGCTGGGTATTTTGGGGTGGAGAAGTGAGTGATTGAGATGTTTTTAAGGACACTTCTAAAGCCATCAACTTTAAGAACTGTAATATACTGTGTTGTATTGTGGGTGGAGTTATCGCAAGCCATCCCAACCAATCCTTGCTGCCCGTTGGAGAATCTTATAGACCCAATCATTGCTCAAATTGTGGTTCCAACACAGTTTTATTTATTTTTTATTTGCTTTATTTGATTTGTCAATCGCTTACAAGATTATAGGTATAAGTATAAACATGAGTAAGAATACAGGAAATAGGTACAAATAAATGGGGACAATAGGACAGGGATGGTAGGCACGATTGTGCATTTATGCACGCCCCTTACAGACCTCTTAGGAATGGGGTGAGGTCAATAGTAGATAGTTTGAGGTTAAAGGAGTGGGGGTTAAAGGATGTAACAACAGTGTCAGGTAGTGCATTCCAGGCATTGACCACTCTGTTGCTGAGTGTTTGTTTAAACACTCCTGTCATTATGCAAAACAAATGTTGCACCCTGATGAAAGCGATCCCACAAAAGCTAAGTGTTGTAATATGACTCTGCAGATTTAAACATCGGAACAGAATGATATAAGTAAAATATTTCCATTTCTTTATTTTTCATTTGGTTTGGCTTGTGCTCCCTGCCCAGCCAGAAATAAAGAAGCAATAATCCCTGTCCTCATAAATTCATTTCATATCGGATCATTATAGTGGATAGAACAGAAGCTGGCTGGTAATTAAATTACACAAGGATTTAATTGTGATCTGGAAAAGTAACTAGCTTTACTCTTGAAAAAAAAAGACAATGTTGTCTTTACTCAAAAACTTAGCAACTGTATTTTTTCTTGAGTAATTCATTATTATAAGGGTGAAAATAAAGTGCTAGAGGAAGAGAAACACTCATGCTATTGTTTGGATAAGATTCATACTTCTGAGTCTCCCTTGAAAGCATCTTCAGCAGTTTGCAACCTGTCTCATGTTTCACAGCAAAAGTACCAGCCAGTTGTCAATATAAATTCCAACTGCTACCCATAATTAGTTTCTGTTTGCTGAGTTAATCCTTTACATGGTATTGCCTGGGGGTGGGGGGGGGGGGGAATCCTCAGTTGAGTGATATTTTTTCAGGAATGCAACTAGAAATAAGGAATGAAAAGAGTGAAAAGTTGCAGTATCAGCAAAGCTCCAGCAAAGCAATACTATCAATGGACAGGTGATATAAGATCTTCCAACAGATACCAGCTGCTGGGGAGGAAGTTAGCAACCTTCCTGTCTATGCCTGGGACTTCCCAGATGTACCAGGTTGGCAGGGGTGGGATTCTACGGGTTCTGTCCGGCTCTGTAGAACCGGTAGCTCTGAAGAGCAGCGGACAAAGAACCGGTTCTGTGTCTGCTGCTGTTTTGGTCCACCCGCCCACCTGGGCACTTACCTGTCCTTTATTTCCTGCTTTTTCAACCTCAGCTGCTTTGTGTGACACAGCTGTGTTTGAAAAAGCAGGAAAATAGTGCTTTTTCAAACGCTGCGCACCTATGCGCAGTGCTGCTCAGCTGTCTGGGCAGCACAGCTCACAAACATCTCACATGCACGCACAAATCGTAAATCACCGAACCAGTAGTTACACCAGTCGGATCCCACCCCTGCAGGTTGGCCACTATTATGTCAATGAACACTGGATCACAAGTAGTTCTTGACTTACAACCATTCCTTTAATGAATATTCCAATTTATGAGAGTGCTAAAAAAAAATGACTTATGGCCGCTTCTAATATTTATGACCACTCATGTCATTACAGCATTCCTGCAGTGACATGGTTGCCATTTGCAATCTTCTCAAGAAGCGTCCAACAAGCAAATTCAATGGGGCAAGCCCAAGTCACTTAATAATTACAGCGATTCATTTAATGACTATGGCAAAAAAAGTTGTAAAGTTGGGATGCAATTTACTGAATGACTGCATTGCTTTGAAACAGAAGTTCTCACCTGAGTTGTGATCATACATTGAGGACTGATCTTTAGTTGAACCTTTGGGCCAATACAGCCTAGCTCTTACTGTAGTCTCTAGCTGTACTGTTCTTTTAAGTTCTGGCATAAACCTGTTTGTTTTTTATCTATTGTTCACTGTATACTTATTTCTTATGAAAGAGTAAAAATGTCATTATCGGTATTCATAGCCAATTTACTTTGAATTTAGATAGATAGATAGAATCAGGGGTGGGATTCTACCAATTCTCACCTATTCGCTAGAACTGGATGTTAACATTCTAAGCAGTTCGGAGAACCGGTTGTTAGAAGAAATTACTGGCCTAATCCTGTAAGAAAGGCAGGAAGGAAACATTCTGGTGTTGCTTACAGAAACTGCCTCTCTGTTAACCCTTACTACATTTTTGGCAGGACTAGACTTCCTGTCTCTGGAACTTCTCTGAAGTTTTTTCCCCCTCCTTTGCTGGTACTTTGCTTGTGTGGAGTGACCATTCAAAGTTACAATGGCAATGAAAAAAGTGACTTATGACCATTTTTCACACTTACAACTATTGCAACATCCCCACAGTCATGAGATTCCAGGCGAGGAGAAGTGTGCCTCGATGTGAGTGATATTGAGTTGGCCACACCCAGCCAATAACATGACCACCAAGCCACATCCACCCAGTCACATGACCACCAAGCCACGCCCACCAACTAAGCCATGCCCACAGAAATTGTTAAAAATTTTGAATCCCACCCCTGGATAGAAAAGAATTGTTTATTGGCCAGGTGTGGTTGGGCACACAAAGAATTTGTCTTGGTGCAAATGCTCTCAGTGTACATAAAAGAAAAAATATGTTTGTCAAGAATCATAAGGTACAACACTTAATGATAGTCATAGGGTACAATAAGCAATCAAATCATACTAGGAAACAGTCCATATAAATAGTAAGGGTACAAGCGACAAAGTTCCAGTCATACAGTCACAAGTGGGAGGAGATGGATGGTAAGGAGTGATGATGAAAAGATTAACAGTAATAGTAGTGCAGACTTTGTAATAGTTGAACAGTGTTGAGGGAATTATTTGTTTAGCAGAGTGATGGCTTTCGGGGAAAAACTGTCCTTGTGTCTAGTTGTTCTGGTATGCAGTGCTCTATAGCATCGTTTTGAGGGAAGGAGTTGTAACAGTTTATGTCCAGGATGTGAGGGGTCTGTAAATATTTTCACAGCCCTTTTTTTGACTTATGCAAGTCCTCGATGCAAGTCCTCGATGGAAGGGAGATTGGTAGTAATTGTTTTTTCTGCAGTCCTAATTACTCTCTGGAGTCTGTGTCTGCCCTGTTGGGTTGCAGAACCAAACCAGACAGTTATAGAGGTGAAGATGACAGACTCAATAATTCCTCTGTAGAACTGGATCAGCAGCTCCTTGGGCAGTTTGAGCTTTCTGGGTTGGCGCAAAATTTGACTTTTGTGTAGCCTATCCTTCTAACAGAGGGAGGAGGAGAAACATCTTGGTCATCTTTCCATTTTTCTTTTTTCCCCATCTTCTTCCACTGGTGCAAGAAGAACAAAGACAAGAGGGTGGGAGAGAGTCCACTTAGAATGTGACGATCTTCCTCTAGACTTACCCAAAGCAGCTGGGATTTACTGAATAGCCCAGGGATATCAAACTCACGTCGTCATGGAGGCATCACGTAACGTAGCAGGACTTTTTCCCCTTCGCTAAACTGGGCAGGGGTG